ATCTGTTGTGTTCGTCAGTACATGGGTCATTTTACTCGAAGACACCATTTCGGGTTTGAAGCTGCCGCTTGGTATTGGCATTTTGTTGATGTGGTTTGGTTATTTCTATTTGTATCTATTTATTGGTGGGGGGGTAATTAACACTTACTACCCCAAAACCCGGGGACGCGTGCCAAAGGGCTCGCAAGAGCYGGGTCCCCGACCGAAGGCGCCGAAGGCGTCGTTTGAGTCTCTATATAGATAGGCCGAAGGCGCCCGTATCTATTAACTGAGTTAACTCAATGATACTACTTCGCTGCCATTTGTTAACACGATAACAGCAATCAACCCTTTGAATGATTATTTTATTTGCAGGTTCGGTTCCTGCTTACGGGGGGTTTGGTGCTGGAGAAGCAACCCGAGAGGCCAGCAGGCCCTCAAGCAGCGTGGATCAACGATAAAATGTGGGGAGAGATAACCCGCCTGTCGAAGGTTCGTGTCAAACCTTTTTCCTTGGTGAAGTCTCCTCTATACGCAAGCATTACCTCAAAGAGGCTCAGAGTGAAATCCTCTCCCACCTTCCTTCTCCTCTTGGGCCCATCCCCTCTCTCCTTTCCTCCTCTCATCCTTTTTGCTTCCGTTTCTTCCTTCTCAGATTCTCGTCTCCTTCTCTCTCCTTCATATATTCCCTCCCTTCTCTCTTCAAACCTTACAGAACGAAAGAATTCTCGCCCTCCTACCATGTTGATGCATCTGTGAAAAGATTTCATGATTGGTGTTCTCAGGATCAGAGCTCAAGTATTCAAGATCGTGGGAAGGGATCTGGGTAAACGTTTAAGTGCGAGAACAGAGAAAATTTGCTTGGAATCACTAACCAAACTCTAGAAGATTGGGAAAAATCGGTGAGTTCAAGTGAGAATCAAAGGCTTAAGTTATGGAAAGCCTTTGGCCTTACATGTTTTACAATGAGAGATCTTATCATAACCAAGATTAGCGATGTTGATTCCCAGAAGAATCCTACGGTCAGTCCCCCCCCCAACCAAAAAAATAATAATAATAAAAAAAAAAATTAGTGGGGGGTGCGCGCACACCCCGTGGGCTAAACCCCAAAAATAAGGTTTTGTGCCCCACCCCCGGACACCCCCCCCCGGGCCACACCCACCAGTGGTGGGACCGGCGTAGCCGTGGGTGCGGGGCTGGGGGCGGGGCCAACAGCC